CGCCCGCAGCGCCTCCCCCGGCTGCCCGCGCCCGCAGCGCAGCCGAGCCGTTGCCTTGGCGACCGGAGCTGCTTACTCCCGCGACTCCCGCTACGGCGGCTCGGAGGGGACCGGAGGGCTCGCCGGGCCTTCCGCGGCCGGGAGGAGGGGAAGCGGGTGGGCGGCGGGCCCCGGCGCGGCGAGGGACCAGCGTGGGGGTCGGCTTGCTGGGATTTGGCCCCCAGGGAAGAGAGAGGAAGGCAATGCTGGGGAAAGGGGGGCGGCGAGGCCGGCGGAAGCCTTGAGCCTCCGACCTGCCTGTGCCTCAATTTCTCTTCCTGCAACCTGTGATGCAGACCGTTAGGTGGAAGCTTCTAACACTGGGAATATTTAAAGACAGCAAAACTGACTTGGGCGGGTGGCAGGTGCCTTTTTATTTTATTTATTTATTTATTTATTTATTTATTTATTTATTTAATCTCCGAAGCGGTGCTGTGTCAAATAAGCCTGTTTCTTTGGGCTCAAGGTGAGAATTAGGTTACCACATTTAATTTCATTATTGGAAATAATTTAACTTGTGACCAGCAATTGCACTTCTTGGAATTAGCATGCAGATACACTGGAACACGAATCCGAAGGTTAAGCCTTGCTCCACTGTTTGTAAAAGTGTTAAAACCAGGTCCATTTAGTAGGGGGTTGAGCAAATAAATGATGGTGCATCCATAAGACAGCTTACTATAGTCAGAGAAAGGCCCAAGAAGATAAAAATGTAGATACAATTTAGTGTAGACATGTAAAAGGGGGGTGATGGATAATACATATAATGCTGGCATATGCACCATGTGAACTGTGGAAAGAGATCTGGAAGATGGAGGCTTAAGATAATGCATTTCCATTGTATATTCTTTTATGTAGCATTAAAAATTTTTTTTTATTGATTTCAGAGAGAAAGGGAGACTGACAGAGAGATAGAAACATCAATGATGAGAAAGAATCATTGATCGGCTGCCTCCTGCAGGCTCCCTACTGGGGATCAAACCTGCATGTGCCCTTAACTGGGATGGAATCTGGAACCCCTTCAGTCCACTGGCCAACACTTTATCCACTGAACCAAACTGGCTAGGGCTTTAATGTAATATTTTCAAAAAACAAGTACATGTATTATCTTTCCAAACAACATATAGGAAAGTAGGAGATCAGAATATGCCACCCCAAAATATGCTACTTTCTAAGGGCTATTTTGAGCTGAAGGCAATTGAGAGAAATAGACACATAAAGACTCTCTGCCCTCATCCAATAAATTTCCCTTTGTTAAGTCCCCTCCTCCTATTCCCCAGGGAAGGCAGAAAATCATCATAGGAGATAATTCTAGACTCTTACCAGTGAGAGAAAATCTACATAACAAATCCTGTTTAAAAAAAGATCTTTATCTTCCATTAATTTCTGCCATGTATCTACCTCCCCACAGCATGCCCCCTAAAAGCCTAAACCTCTTTCCACTGTCTTACCACTTCTCTACAAATTTAAAGTTTACCAGTCTTGATCAATTAGTATAAAACCCTCCATGTTCGGCCAGTCACTGTACCTAAAAGGAGAAGACAAATTTTCCTCTCCTACAGGGGACAAAAAAACACATCTAGCTTTGACAATCAACAGGCAAATATGGGAGGGGTTGTTTGGGTGGCAGTGAGCCCCCCATCTTAGAAGAGAAATTGCTGCGGTGGGAAGTAGGAGTAGAGGATCTCAAAGATGTGCCGTCCTCCAACTTTGCCTCCCAGCGGAGGCACACTTACCCACTTAGGGTTAAAAATGTGGGCAGGATACCACATTTGGGAGGACTAATGCTTGCAGGTCAGAAAATTAAAAACTCGTCAGCTGCTGGCTTGACCCCGTGCTCCTTACATAAACAGTGCTCACAGAATGTAAACAAGTACCAGACAAGGCCACTGCTTATTTGGAACAAGGCAGAGACAAACATGATTCAACAACTTCCTCTTCTAAGGGGAGTGAGTCCTGCCTTTCCCCCCCCCCCCCACTCCTTTTCAATGACAATTTTGACCCTGCTTTACTTAATCTTCCTGCCTCCAGGATAAAAATTAAGATACCTACTCATCAAATTGTCCCTGCTTCTTGACTGTGTCCAATTCGAAACAACTCCCCACTTCCTTAAACCATCCTTAGAGTACCCAAATCCTAATATAAACTCTAAGTCCCTCTTACCAGGATCCCCCACGGTTTCTCTGGTGTGTGTTCTCCCTTAGTGAACAAGCTGAATAAATAAATCTTTTTGATAACAGGGTTTTAAGAGCTACCTGTGTTAATGAAAAAAAACAAAACAAAACAAAGAAATTGAAACCTGTAAAGAATTTTGTGTGTTTGAGCCAAACTGCCAACATATGCTGGGAAGCAGAACCTCAATGAATTGAGATAATGCTCCGAAGAAAGGCAGGTTACATTTCTTTCTTTTTTTTCTTTTTTCTTTTTTTTTCTAAGGCAGATTATATTTCTATTTATACATTGCAATCAAAGGAGGGACATAGGTGGGTTACATGAAATTCATTGGTGATGGATTAAGGAGGTGGGAGAAAGCAAAGTGGTCGGAAACCCCTGGGATTGGATAAAAAGTAGAAAGATGGACACATACTTAGGTGGGTACAGAAACAACATGATAATGAAGGAATTTGAGGCATCTGTCCTGGCGCCCACCGCATTGGGTTGTGCCCCAGGGGCTCCAGGAAAAGGGAAGTTAGAAGTTAACCAGACATCTCACAGATATGTTATCTGTGAAACAGTATGTTCTTAGAGGTCAAAAGGCAAATGGGCTCATTATAGAAGATCTAAGTTGATCTTTGTCAGGGAAAATATCGGCCTAGGACATGACTACCCACAGTAACCTGTTTGTAGTTAGATATTTAATTTTCAAACCATCTTTTGTGGTTATTTTAGGTCTCGGAGTTTGCAAGACTGCCACGCAGGCCTCCCCTCAGCCTGTCAGGTTAGCACGTGGCTCCTTTTGTCCACACGTGGAAGGCTCAGTGGTCCTAAAGTAACCTGACTTGGGCGGCTGTTTGGGGGTGAGGGAGGAGATAGGCTGAGGCAGGAAGTAGAAAAGCTTGCGTAATTCTTCCTCTGCCCATCAACCCTTCTTCCTGTGGCCTTTGGCAAAGCATTTCTCTTTGAGCTTTTTCCCATTTCAGTAAAAGAAGAGGTCAGAGTGTATTTCTAAGGTGTCTTCCAATATAAATATTATAGAATTCCAAACTCTACAGGTTCTTGTATTCTCAGGTAAATGTTACCCCTACTTAGGGCATTTGTACAACATTGTCATCATAGGCAAGTCTACCTACCACTTACATTGTTATGCATTTAAATAAATCATTTTCAAGTTTTCTTTCTTTAAATAGAATCTCAATTTTTGCTGACATCTACAAAAGAAAGTTTACCTCATTGCTTAAATGGAAAACCAGCTTTGGTTGGTAGAAATGGAAGTCTTTTTGTAAACACACACACACAAACCCTGAAACAAAATGGCTATTTTAACTGTAGATGCGGTTTCCTTTGGAAAGATGTGGAAAATGAAGCCTTCATTCTGTTAAAAAGGGAGATAAGCAAGTGTTAGAAAAATGTTAAATACATACCAGTCCTGTTTCAAACCTTTTCTGTGGTTTGAAACAGGACTTTTTCTCTGTGCCTTTCAATGATATATTCAGCCCACATTTTAGGAAACTGCTCATTTTTCCCTGATAAACATGACTCATCTTCCAGTTCTCAGATTAAATTCCTCTGAACAACTTCCCAGGCCTCCCACCCCCAACTAAATTGCTTTCCCTGTACCTAGTGGGCATTACATTTTTTATGGAAAGAATATTCCCTTATGCTACTTCTTCATAGTACTACTCATCACAATGTGTTAACGGTGCATTTATGGTGTCAGTCTCTTCTTAACTAGGCCATAAATTCTTGTACACTTTGTAACCGGACAACCAAGGGGTCTGGGCTGCCTGTCACTACTTCAGCCAATTAAGCAGAGACAGGGGTGAATCATATATGAGCGTTTATTCCAATACTGATAGCAGTATGGGAGAGCAGTAGGTCACCCACAAAAATCTGCTCTGCACCCCACCAGAAGGCAACTGCTTCTATTGGGTAGAAGGCCAAGATTACGTAGAAAAGTAGGAATTACAGGTTACAAATCCTGTGGGCTGGGGTGAGGGGGAGCGTTACAGAGAGCGGGCGCCTCTGCACCCTGGGACCAGATCACAGGTAATAGGGGCAGGGGGTTGTAAAGAGCAGGTGCCTGCAGGCCTAGGCGCCACCAGAATGTAAATCTTTCCAAACTGATAGGCAGTTCTCAGGAGGACAGGCTGCATTCCGATATTAGCTCCCACGTCCGGGGGCGTACAATTCTCAGCGAGGTTAGACTGTGCTTTCTCTGATCAGAAAATCAATCACGGTTAACACAACATGATCAATATTTCTTATCATTATAGTTAATTTCTAATATTCTATTTCTGCCCCTAACAACTTCAGTACCCCAGATATTGACACCTAATGGGCTCCCAGGGAATACAAACGAGGCGAAGAAATCAAGCCTCCACAACCCCTAAAGCAGTGTTTTTCAACCTTTTTTGGGCAAAGGCACACTTGTTTCATGAAAAAAATCACGAGGCACACCACCATTAGAAAATGTTAAAAAATTTAACTCTGTGCCTATATTGACTATATATAAAGTAATTCTCTTGAATAGGAATCAAATAAACACAAAGAAAGTATTTTATAATTACTTTATTATGAAATATTAAGTAAACAAAATAGTGAAAAATTATAAAATTCTTGTCTTGTCTGCACCTACGGCACACCAGGCAACAACCTAGTGTGCCGCGGAACAGCGGTTGAAAAACGCTGCCCTAAAGCACAGGCAGGTCTGGCCCCGCCTCCTCCCTCGGCTTGGCGAGGATTTAGCCCCGCCTTCTTTCCCTCCGACTGGGCAGCGGCCGAGGGCGGTGGGCGGGGCCAAGCCATGACGCTAGCCGTGCGTTTCCGGCTTGAGAAACCTTCGTGTTTCTGAGGAGACGTCTCAACTGGCAGTCACAGCGCGCGCCAGGAGCCTCCGGATCCGCCGCTTCCATCGCTGGCGTCGCCATGGGAGCTGTGCTGGGCGTCTGCTCCCTGGCCAGCTGGGTGAGTTCCTGGCTTAGAGTCTCCATCTGATCTGTGGTTTGGACGCGGCCGGGGCGGGGGGGGGGGGGGGGGGGGAGGACAACAGTGAGCCCCAAGATCAGCCCCGAACGGGCCTCGGCTGCAGACGCCCGGGAATTGGAAGGGACCGGCCCTGAGCTGCAGAGAGTATCCAAGGGTCCAGGCCAAAATCCGCGATCGGGATCAGACGGCTCACTTTCCGCTTTTGACGAACGTGGGCGGCCAGGCCGCCATTGTTTACAATTTCCGTGGCCCCGCCCCCAGGAGCCTTCCGGCCTCTGGGTTCACCAGCCGCTGGAATGGGACCAAGGAATGAGTTCCCAGAGCAGGAGCTCTCTGGTTGGTTTCGAAGCACCTTCTTCAGGTGGCGCCATCTAATTTGCGTGGTTTGAATAATGTTTCTATCCTGTAGCCCGGGATTTGCCAAAGCTACAGAGTATGTGGCAGAGCTGTGAGTTTCACCGAGGCCTGTGCAGTCCTGGTGCAAGGGGGAGGCCTTGTAGATTCTTCTTCAAAATTGGAAGCCGTCGTCTGAACTTTGGGACCTTGTATAAGTCCCGTAAGACGAGGATAATAACTCCAGCATTTCTCGCTTGGAATGCTGTTGTTGGGTACGATTGAGTCATTTTGTAGACTTCAAATTCCATATTTTAAAAAGGAAATTTTAGGATCTATAGAAGAGAATATGCAGAGTTCCCTCGTATACTCACTTCAGAGGACTCCCTGAGCTCATTCCACTATTATTTCTTAGGCACTCCCCTCTCTCCCCCCCTTACAGGGGGGGAGAGAGGGGAGTGCCTAAGAACCGGAAGATCATGGTTTGATACCGGGTTGTGGGTTCGATTCCCCAGTATGGGCATGCAGGAGGCAGTGATGATTCTCTCCCATCATTGATGTTTCTATCTCTCACTCCCAACCCCCTTCCTCTCTGAAATCAATTAAAAAAATATTTTAAAAAAGATTATAGGTCTTAAATACAAAAGGTAGGTTCCTTGAGAGTAGTGGCTTTCCAATTTTTTTTTTATTTTGACCCAAAGTAAATAAATTTTATACAGTTGAGTTAATACGTCCATTTAGACACAAGTTTCATGAAATCTTACCTTTACTATCTGCTGTACAATTTTTCTACCACATTAAAAAAATTCTGGTCAATTGATTTTTACAATCCACTAGTGGGCTAAACTCACTAGTTACAAAATAGGGGAGTAAAACTTTTCTTCCCCCCTTGGTTGGTAGTTAGGGATCTGTGACAAAAAGACAATTAGCGTGCAAAACCCACATTCACACACAGTTGCTTAGTGATGAACAACTCAAAGGTGTGGTTAGAATATAGAGCTTACCGTATTTTTCGGACCATAAGACGCTCCGGACCATAAGACGCACCAGTTTTTAGAGAAGGGAAATTAAAAAAAGATTCTGAAACAAATAGTGTCCTAAAATATTTTATGTGCATTAAAACCCAACATCACAGTCATAAACACATGTAATCAACCCTGTAAAGTAAACAGCAGCATTTAGAACCACTTTAGAGCCGGGCAAGCACACAGAGACCACACAGAGCCGGGCAAGTAAAAAAACTTTTTTTTTAAAGTATATGTGTAGGCTATATTTGGACCATAAGACGCAGGGACTTTTCCCCCCCACTTTTGGGGGGAAAAAAGTGCGTCTTATGGTCCGAAAAATACGGTATATTCCTAACTTTAGGGGAAAAGGAGGTAGGAGAAAAGGGCTTCTATGGGAAAAACAAATAAGTTGTCTTATTGCTTAGAAAAGACAAATGGGTTGGGTTTTTTTTGTGATTTAAAAAAAAAATATTTCTATTGATTTCAGAGAGGAAGGGAGGGGAGAGGGAGAGGGAGAGAGAGATAGAAGATGAGAGAGAATCATTGATGGGCTGCCTCCTTCACACCCCTTACAAGGGATCAAACCTACAGTCCCCGCATGTGCCCTGAGGGGGAATCAAACCAAGACCTCCTGGTTCTTAGGTCAACACTCAACCTGTGAGCCACAACAGCCCAGCCAAAGGGGTGTTTAGGAGATAAGAAAGTTTGTGATAATAACTTGTTTGTGTGGATGCAGAAATCTTTATCTTCTTCAAGGCCATAAAACTCTTGGGAGAAGTTACAGCAGCCTCACTTTTGTGTGTTTAGTCAGATGAGGAAAGCTCTGAGAGAAGGCTTTTCTTTTTCTACTTCTATTTTGAATCTGAAATGTTTTCATCTTAAAATAATCTTTATACTAAGTCTGGGTTCTGAATGGGTTGCTACCGTAATGAAACGAGCTTTTGTATTTAATCCAGATGAGAGATGTTAGTGGCTTAGACTACACCAACATGATAGCTAAGGATACTATGAAAATTTTCAGATTCTGGGTATATTCTGAGGGTAGAGCTGATATGCTGACAGATTGGATGAGTGTTTTGGGAAAAGAAGGCATCAAAGATGACTTAAAGGTTTTTGAGTGAGAAACTGGAAGAATAGTTGTCATTTAGAAATAGGGAAGAGACAAAACATATAGTAGGACAGGTTTGTTCCACAGATTAAGTATCTTTACACACTAGGTACTTGATTCATTTCTATGGCTGAATAATATTCCATTGTGTGGCTATAACACATTTTACTCATCCATTCATCAATTGGTAGACATTAGAGTTGTTTCTGCCTTTTGGCAGTTGTGAATAGTGCTGCTTTGAACATTTCATGTACAAGCTTTTGTTTGCATACCTGTTTCAGTTCTTTTGGGTTTATATTTAGGAGTGGATTTACTGAGTCTTATGGTAATTCTATGTTTAACTTTTTGAGGAATCTCCAGATTACTATTTATTTATGTATTTATTTCTTTTTATTGATTTGAGAGAGGAAGGGAAGGAGAGAAAGGGGAAAAAAATCGAGATGAGAGAGAAATATCCCTCAGTTGCCTCCCATATGTAACGTGACTAGGAATCGAACCCACTAACTTTTGGTGTTCGGGAGGACACTCCAACCAACTGGGCCACACTGACCGGAGCTCTGGGTTACTCTTGAATGGAGCATAATGGCTCTTGCTATCATCTATAATAATCTATAATAATGAAAGCATAATATGCTAATTAGACTGGATGTCCTTCCAGACAAAGCTGGGGCTGCCAGAGGTGCCAGAGGGAAGCCGGTACTGGCGGCCAGGGAAGGAAGGCCTACTCTTGCACGAATTTCAAGCATTAGGCCTCTAGTTATTTATAAGGGTTTCCATGTAATGTTGCTTATAATATCAAATTTGGTAACCAGGGTTCTTGGTAAATAGCAATTGCAGTTAGGTTTATATTTTTCTCATTAGTAAGATAAGTTGTTTTTAAAGATAATATACCTGAGTGAATATAAATAAAGTTTCTAGGTCTCTTAATATGTTTTAAATCCTGTGTTGAGTGTTTATTTAGTACAGTAATGTCTGAGGGAGGAAGTTTCTGTCAGAATCTATGTTACAGATGCAGAAAAAGATTTGCTGAGATAAAGTGGCAGAAATAGCATTGACTCCAGAGCCCTTGCTTTTAACCACTTCCTCCCAGTTGTAATTCTCTGTTAAAGCTTGCTTCGTTTTCTGTTCTGCGATGCCTGTGTCATGAAAGACCTCAGACAGCCATCTGTGCTTCTTACAGGTCCCATGCCTTTGTGGTGGGGCATCATGTTTGCTATGCGGTTGCTGCCCCAACAGTAAGAATTCCACTGTGACTCGCCTCATTTATGCTTCTATTCTCATCCTGGGCACTATTGTATCCTGCATCATGCAAACGGAAGGGATTAAAAATCAGCTGAAGAAGGTGAGTAGAAGTAACAGAACCGTTAAATGTATTATTTTTATATTCTTTGAAATTTTAATTGACATTAAGAGTCATACTTATTTCTTCACTTATGAAAGTCAATCAAATTCATTGTAATTTGGGATGTAGTTAAGATACAGAATATGAAGGGATTAGTCCTTTCCCAGAAAAAAAGGAAGTCTAAGTGGACATCTTCAGGTTCTAGTCTAACAACTGAGAGAGAAAACATATATTAAAAGGGTGGCCCTAAAACTTAAACATTTAAACTGATCTGGGCCTTTGAAAGGAATGAGTTGTAGCATGAAAATTCATGGGATCAGTAGAAAAGCGCAAAGAAGAGAGCATTCACTTTTATTTCCAAAATGCAAGTTGTTTAAACTCTCTGGTGACAAGATTATAAATGATTGGAAGACAGAGGATAATCCCACAGGATAGTCTTGCAGTTGTTGAAGTAGTCAGTTTTGTAAATCCCGTCTTTCCTAAGGTGAGGTAGAATCTCTGTTTAAATGTGGGTGTTCCCATAACATTGACATTATTTTTCCCAGGTTCCTGGATTCTGTGAAGGGGAATTTAAAATCAAGGTGGTTGATTTAAAGGCTGATAGAGATTGTGATGTGCAGGTCGGTTTTAAAGCTGCATATCGGATCAGCTTTGCCTTGGCCATCTTTTTCTTTGCCTTTTGTCTACTCATGTTAAAAGTGAAAACGAGCAAAGATCCCAGAGCAGCAATACACAATGGGTATGTAAGATTTATTTATTATTAAGTTGTCATATTATGGTGTGGACCTTCACATTCAGCTGTTAATGCTACCATTTTGATGGGAACAGTAGAGTATGTAAATCAGTGGCCCAGATGTATGTCTGACCTCTTGTACATGTGAAATTGTTTCAGTGTCATTTTCATTTGGAGACCTGTAGCATTGGAGAAGGTAGAGGGGATGAGGAGAGTCTTCTCTCTCTTTTTTTTTTTTTTTTTTAAATATATTTTTATTGATTTAAGAGAGGAAGGAAGAGGGAGAGAGAGAAACATCAATGATGAGAGAGAATCATTGATCGGCTGCCTCCTGCATGCTCCCCCCACTGGAGATCAAGCCCGCCACCCGGGCATGTGCCCCTGACCAGAACTGAACCTGGGACCCTTTAGTCCGCAGGCCGACGCTCTATCCAACGAGCCAAACTGGCTAGGGCTACCTTTTTTTTTTTTTTTTTTAAATATGTTTTATTGATTTCAGAGATAGGAAGGGAAAGAGGGAGAGATAGAAACATCAGTGATGAGAGAGAATTATTGATCGGCTGCCTTTCTGCAGGCCCCTTACTGAGGATTGAGCCTGCAAGCCCAGCATGCGCCCTGACCAGGATTTGAACTGTGACCTCTTGGTTCATGAGTCGGTGCTCAACCACTGAGCCACACCAGCTGGCTTTTTTTTTTTTAATTAAATCTTTATTGTTGAAATATTCCATGTGTCCTCCTTTTCCTCTATTGATTGACTCCTTCTATTCTATCCCACCTCTGTCCCCATCCCAGGCGTTTTGTTTCAAGTTTCTAGATTTTATTGAACACCTGTGAAATATTTCAAGCATTATGCTAGGTACCACATCAATAAAGGTATTTATTTTTCCTTTCAGTTGTTAAAAGATAAAATGTGCATGTTATATTTAAACTAGATGTCATGTACTGGTAGGGTCCCTAGTGGCTGCTCCTACCAGGGTACTCCCTTCCCCCCGGCCGCCTGCCTCCTGGTCAAACTCCAGGAAAAATTCTGGTCTAGGGGACAGTTTGCATACTATACTTTTATTATATAGGATAGTATTCAGAAAGATAAACTGGATATGTTTGGCTACTGATTTACTTACTCTGTTTCTTTCTATTCTTGGTCTCAGTTCTCATTTGAAGAGTAAAGGGAGTTTTGTAAACTTTATACGTAAATTATCTCCTTTTTATAGATGCAATACCTAAATTTGAGAGAGGTTATATAAATTGCTTGAGATCTCAGCCAATGAGGGTTGGAGCTGAGATTGAAATTCAGGTCTGTCCAGCTCCAAAGTCTGATTCCTTTCACTCTGCCATACAAGGAGTCTTTCAAGATCATGAACTAAAAGCCAGGTTTGGTCTTGGCTTTGCCAGTGATGAACTGTGTAATTGTGAGCAAGGCCCTTATATCCTATGTTGTAAAAGAAGGATTGGGAAATACTTCTTTTACAACTTTTCCCCACACTTAAGAGTTAATTGCCCTATATTTATTATAGCTAACACTGTTTGTCTAGAACACTTCAGAATTCAAAAAAAAGTCCTCTCTTTAAGTGCTAAAAGTAGGGAAACTTTAAGGGTACATGTTCCTCTTAATGTGAATGATCTGTTCCTTGTGCGGTTTATTCTTACATTTTGTGAAGTATTGAATGAGGTGGCCCCATATCAAATGAATATTAAGTCAAGTCATGTTGGAAACGCTACTAAGCCTTTATTTTTGCATTTTAGAAATTCATTTTCTCACTATTAGGGTGAAATTAGCATTTCATAAATGCCTTTTTAAATATTTTAATAGGTTTTGGTTCTTCAAAATTGCTGCCATTGTTGGTATCATGGTTGGATCTTTCTACATTCCTGGGGGTTATTTCACCACAGGTATGGCTCACTATTAAGGGGGTTAATTGTAAAATATACAGACTCTACATGATTAAGTTAAAACTATATTTTCAGTATTGATTTTGTAGAACTGACAAAGGAGATGGTGTCCTATTATATGACTTGGTACTAATATTAGATATTAAGGCAGTCAGGTCACTTCTCAGCAGTTCTGGAACCAGATTTTAATTGTCAATATTTTAACAGTCTGTCTTCTTACTTGACAATACTCAGTTCATCAGAGAGCTTGTTAACATAAGGACTTATAACTCATGTGCTCTACCACCCCTGTCTTAGCCTCCTTCCTTACCATGGCATTGAGTGACAGGTGGATTTCCACTATGATTTTTTTCCTTCCTGTAAAGTAAAGGAAAAGGCTTGTAGGAGCATTTGGAATGTGAGATCCTAGGCTCCCCTTGGCACAAGCTCAAACAAGTTTTAAAAGGTCTGAGACCCACCGAACACTTCTCAGACAATGCCTTTGGTTTTGGAATTAGAGTAATCTTGCAATCGCTTCTCGGCCTTTTGGCTAAGATCAAGTGTAGAGTAATCTTGCTCTGTAGTGTTGGAGACAGAATATGTTTTTACCTCCTCTCTCTTAATTGAATTGAAATCTTCTTAGAATATTAACAACATTGTGATATGTTACTTGTATGGTAAAGAATAACTTTGTTCTTTTAATTTGTAGTCTGGTTTGTTACTGGCATGATTGGGGCCACTATCTTCATTCTTATCCAGCTGGTGCTGTTGATAGACATGGCTCACTCTTTGAATGAATGCTGCGTAAATCGGATGGAAGAAGGAAACTCAAGGTGCTGGTATGGTGGTAAGTATCTAAACTCAACTATCAGAGCCACACGGCATTATGCTACATTAAACAGGGCAAAAAAGAAAAATCTCCATTGATTTAAATGTACAAACTTTCAGGGTCAAGCTAATTTTAAAAACTATACTTTCTCATTGAGTTAATTCTGAATTATATGCATCACTGGAAGGGAGTAGCACAGTTAATATAAATAATTGGGTTCCCCCAATTAATTTATATTGAGATTTGTAATGTAAGTACATGCATTTATATAAGGGGGGAAATTGTATTTAGTGGCATAGTTCTGGTTTGTATTTCCTTGTTTCCCTGGACGAGGGGACTCAGATGCATTGTATATATGGGACATCTGCCAACATAGGCAGAAGAACGTGAACAGTACTTACTGTTTTGTTCAGAGTATGACCCCAAGCCCCTTATGGTGGAAAAGGGTACTTAATATTTTTAGTTTGGGAACACAATTTATAGCCTGTAAGAATAGGGAGGGACTTTGGAGCCCTATTAGGAGCAATGACCCAGCTGTATTTTAGTCTTAAAAATAATGGTTGAGATTCCTTGCCCTGACTCCACCTCAAACCCCTCACCCCAATTATAAAGTAATAGCTGTTCTGTGTCAAGAACTTGAAAATCAAAAATTACAAAAGAAAAAAATTCCCCCATAATCTAATTCCCCAGTAATTATTCATTGTTAACATAGTAGTCTACATGTGTATCTTCTGTCTAGGAAAAAATTATTGAAAAATGTATATTGTTTTTGTATCTTATTTATTTTTTAAGTGTAGTATATATTCAAATAGTTTATAGTTTGATCATTTCTACAACTTAGAAATAGCTTGTGAATAAGTTTGGCTACGATACAGCAATAAATACCTAATAACATATTTCTGAGTATATTTCTGATTATTTCCTTAGAATAAATTCCCAGAAGTAGAAGAGTGAAAGGGTGTGGATATTTTTAATATTTTTAGCACATGTTATCAAATTGTCCAGTTTTCTTTTCATCTTACATATTTAGGATGCTTCTTTTTAAATCAAAAAAAGAAGAAAAAAATAGCACCATTTACACCATAAAATAAATGGTAGAATTTTATAAAGAATAAAACATGCAGCTCTACCAACTTGCAATAACCCACTTTCCTCTCCAGATGTAACCACTGGGAGTAGCACAGATAATATAAACAGTACCAACTGGATAAGAATGAATTCTGTTATGTTTAAGCGTAAATAGGATTATACTATATATTGTTCCATGTCTTGCTCTTTTTTTTTTTTTTTTTTAATTTTGGTAACCTTTGATACAGTTTCTTAATTTTTTAAGTGTATTTCTTTATTGATTTCTGAGAGGAAGGACGAGGGAGAAAGAGATAGAAACATCAATGATGAGAGAGAATCATTGATCGGCTGCCTCCTGCACGCCCCACAGTGGGGACTGAGCCTGAAACCCAGGCATGTGCTCTTGGCCAGAATCGAACCTGGGACCCTTTAGTAGATAGGCCGATGCTCTTACCACTGAGCCAAACCAGCTAGGGAAGCTCCTTTCACTTATTTTACAATGAATAATCTTTCCTATCAGTGAACATAGGTATGTCTTACTTATTTAACAGTTGCATGGTATTCCAATCCATAAAATTCCTGATGTTCCATGGCATGATGTACCATAATTCATTTAACCATTGCCCTGTTATTGGTCACTTAAACGTTTGTAATGTCTGTTCATTGCAGAAAAAGATTTTTTAAGTTGTCTACCTTTATGGGTTGGAAATCCTGAAACTTCTTTCTGACTAATAAAATTTATTTCATTTTTTTTTTTTTTTTTTTTTTTTACCTATTTACTTCTGTTTTATCTATTTCATTTTGTGTAACTCCAACTATAGAAGAATTTAATAATGAATTGTAGATATACCCTACTTTGGAGAAACTAAAAGTAGAGAAATCTTGTATGTTCAGATAGAAAAGCATTAAGAACTCTTCTAGTAACCTAATGTACATCATCATTTTATAGTAACATTAGAGTCCCTGTGCACGAAATTCATGCACTTGGGGAGGGGTGTTCCTCAGCTCAGCCTGTGCCCTCTCACAGTCCAAGAGCCTTGCAACCGATTAGGCCCCACCCACCCAGCTGAGGGTCCTTGATGGATTCCCAACACACACACACACACACACACACACACACACACACACACACCCCAGGCCCGTCCACCTGCCACAGCCCACCTGTCAGTGGCCTGGGCCTCCCTAATTGGGGCAATGGTCCTGCCGATGTGGTCATGTTGTGATAGGAAACAGGTTTATGTAGGCAGCAGCTACAGAGGAAAAATTGCCACAAAAGATGCTTGTCCTGTTTAGTGCTAGAACCATCCCTGGCACTCAGCTTGCTGTAAACTGGGACATTTTGCAGGCTAAGAGATCTTTTAGGTTCCTAAGGAAAGCTTATAATGAACAATATTTTGTATTTATTAGTTAGGATTTACTCTGGTTGGAATGATCAGATGTCTGGTTTTTCAACCCATGAACTCAAGTGAGGTAATCCAGGAAATGAATTCAGTTGTTTGGTGGATTTTATAATTTTACATTGAGCCAACTCGAACACAATCTGAAACTTCAACCTTGGGGTTTCTGTCATTTTACTGTAAATGAGTAACCCATCATAAAAGTGAAATAATGTCTCTTTACTTTTATACGGAGAAGAAAATTGGTCTTCAATATAAAAGTTCGTTAGGATTGGGTATTCATATTGGTTTTCTTTTTTTTCCTTTCAGTTTTACTATTTATCACAAGCATCCTGTATACCCTTTCAATCATCACTGTCAGTTTGCTCTATATATACTACACCAAACCAGATGGCTGCACAGAGAACAAGTTCTTTATCAGTATTAATCTGATCCTTTGTGTTGTGGTTTCTATTATATCCATCCATCCAAAAATTCAGGTATGGTGGTTTTCTGCTTCTTCCTCCTGTGAGATTTTTAACTAATGCTAAACTTGAAACCTAGGTAACCTATATGAATTTATGTCCAAGTTAAACATTTTTCATATTATTATAACTTAGTAAACTATAAAATATGCCATTAAGTTGCCTGTAGTATAATTAAATGAATAATTTCCTTATTTGAGAAAATGTAAGCAACTTGAGAATTTATAATTTTCATAAGATTGTTTACAACTTGAGAATGATACTTATGAATCATTAGCCAAGATGTTTTAGGGGAATTAAACTAGAAAAAAGAATTGATTATTAATACTTAAAAACAAAACTCATGCTCCTAAGTTTTATCACTTACCATACTTTTAAAAATTAATGGGGCTTTATATATGAAACATTTGTGCACTGGGGCTGTGGGGAGGAGGAGTCTCAGCGTGGCCTGCCCCCTCTCGTAGTCCGGGATCCCTCAGGTGTTCTTAGTGCTGCCATGGAGGCAGGGGAGGCTCCTGTCAGCGTCATTGCGCTTACCAGCTATGAGCCCAGCTTCTGGATGAGCTGCGCTCTCCCCTGTGGGAGCCCACTGACCACCAGGGGCAGCTCCTGCATTGAGCATCTGCCCCCTTGTGGTCAGTGCTTGTCATGGTGACCGGTTGTTCCACCATTCAGTTGATTTATATATTAGCCTTTTATTATATAGGATGTGAAAAGAACATCTAGACATCGCCCCTCCTTTTAAAAATGAAGTAGATCCAGAGAGATGACGGGTCACCCAGCTAGTTAATGGCAAAGCTGAGTTAAGATTCCTCTGCACTAAGAGACTAATAAATCAAAGCCTTTTGTGGTAAACAGAAATCTCCAGGATTATGAAATGCCTTGAGAACCAATACAGTAGGTCCTTGGTTTACGTTGGAGATCCGTTCCTACGGCATGCTGTAACCCACCTATATAAGTACCTACATCACTCACATGGAGCACATACACAGTAGTAATAAAGTGAAACAATAAAAAAAAATTTAAAAAAGATAACAATTCCTGACCTTTACTTGTGGTAAATAAATAACAAAAAGCATAAAGCACATATGTGCATATGTTGAAATGACGCAACTTTGGCCGAAACCTGTTTGGCTCAGCGGTAGAGCATCGGTCTGCGGACTGAAAGGTCCCAGGTTCGATTCCAGTCAAGGGCATGTACATTGGTTGCGGGCACATCCCCTGTAGGGGGTGTGCAAGAGGCAGCTGGTCGATGTTTCTCTCTCATTGACGTTTCTAGCTCTCTATCTCTCCCTTCCTCTCTGTAAAAAATCAATAAAATATATTTTTTAAAAAAAAGAAAGAAATGACGCAACTTTCTTTTTTTGTTATAAATAAATGGGAGGTGGTGACATAACTACGAAACAATAAGTCAAATCCGACGTAACCCCAGGACTGCCTATATTTGCTTCCTCTTCCTGAGTTCTTTCCAAGCTAGTTTAAATTGAAAGGTTACTTGTCATCTTTCAACATCAGAAGGTTCTTAGTGAATAACAATTCAGTGGATCCCAGAGAAGTACACCGAGTTTTAGAATGTCAGCCCTTGCCACCCCTGAGGCATTGTTTTCTTTTTGATTCCATAGGAACACCACCCTCGTTCTGGCCTCCTGCAGTCCTCCATCATCACACTCTACACCATATACCTTACATGGTCAGCCCTGACCAATGAGCCTGGTAAGAGAATGGCAACAGCACATTCATTTGATGAAAATAGGAAATTATTCCTTTGGTAGAGTTAAAACTAAAGCTAGAGCAATTCAAACAAATGAACAAACTTAAACTTCATTGGAAAGTATAATGTCACTGCAGATACTTGCCTTTCAAGTTTTATTCTCCATGTATTTTCATAGCTACTCATAGCTGACAGTCTAAGGAACTGCAATCCTTTATATTAGTCTTGACCATCGATTTTCAACCTTTAGTTTTTGCCGATCTGACAAAAAAAAAAAAAAAAAGATATAATTTTGATTGATTCACACCGATGACTATAATGTTGGCTGTTGTCATTTTTTTATTTGACAGTCTCTTTTCTTTTTTTAAAAATATATTTTATTGATTTTTTACAAAGAGGAAGAGAGAGGGATAGAAAGTCAGAACCATCGATAAGAGAGAAACATCGACCAGCTGCCTCTTGCACACCTCCTACGGGGGATGTGCCCACAACCAAGGTACATGCCTTTGACGAATCGAACCCAGGATCTTTTAGTCTGCAGGCCGATACTCTATCCACTGAGCCAAACCGGTTTCGGCTCTCTTTCCTTTTTTTTTTTTTTTTTTTTTTTTTTTTAATATCTGTAAATTAATTTCAGAGATAAAGGGAGAGTGAAAGAGAGATAGAAACATCCATGATGAGAGAGCATCATTGACTGGCTGCCTCATGCATGTCCCCAACCAGGGATTGAGCCTGCGAACCCGGGCGGGAGCCCTGTCTGGGAATCGAACTGTGACTTTCTGGTTCATACCAGTTGGGCAGTTATAGGGTTGTTTCTCAATAGAGTATTCTGTGGGTTCCTTTGAAAGGAAAACAATTATTGCAGAAACTCTAATGATGACTCCACTTAAAAAATTTTTTTTTTTATTTTTTTTTTATTGATTTCAGAGAGAAAGGGGGAAGGAGAGAGAGAAACATCAATGATGAGAGAGAATCATTGATCAGCTGCCTCCTACACACCACACACTGTGGATTAAGCCCACAACCCAAGCATGTGCCCTGACCGGGAATGGAACCATGACCTCCTGGTTCATAGGTCAATGCTCAAACACTGAGCAACACCAGCCAGGCTCAACTTACTTTTATTATATTCTTATGTCAATATGTGACAACAAAATTAGGGATAAACTCCTTATGCTCAAAGCCTTTACATAATTGTAGAACCAAGAAGATTTATTAAACTTCAGAACCAGTAAAATCAAGATTGATATCTGTAAAATTTGACAAATTATTGTTTCTTTTTTCCCTAAAACTAAGTCACTGCAACACAGATATGTTACTGGCTGCTAAATTTCAAGTTCTTTTAAATATAGCATTCCCATGTTTTATGTCATAACTGCCAGTGTAGCCAAACCCTTCAAATCCTTTAGAGGACAGGATGGGTGATAACTAAAGATAATAAAATATTTCCCATTTTCAGATCAATCCTGCAACCCAAGCCTATGGAGCATCATTACACACCTGACTGCACCAACTTTGGCTCCTGCAAATACAACTGCTCCGGTCCCTACCTCTGATCTACCAAAACAAAGTGGGCGTTTTCTGGAGTATGGGAATTTTATTGGGCTGTTAACCTTTGCTCTCTGCCTTGTGTATTCTAGGTAAGTTTAAAAATACTTAGAACAAGATTCTCATGAAGGTTAATATGGGTGAAGCAGCTTTTTTGCTTTCAAAAAGTAGTATGAAGAATTTTTTAAAAACAGCCTAACTTTATTAAAAGTCCTCGACTTGCCTTGACTACCCATTTCTTTTTCTTTTTTTTAAATATATTTTATTGATTTTGTACAGAGAGGAAGGGAGAGAGATAGAGGGTTAAAAACATCAATAAGAGAGAGTCATTGATCAGCTGCCTCTTGCACACCCCCTATTGGGGATATGTCCGCAACCAGGGTACATGCCCTTGACCGGAATCGAACCCGGGACCTTTCAGTCCCCAAGCCGACGCTCTATCCATTGAGCCAAACCGGTTTTGGCTGACTACCCATTTCTTAAAGCTCATTAAATCCTCTCATCAAATAATTCTCCCCAACCAACCTTACAAAAAGATACCTTCTCATTTGTTTAGGAGAAGAAAGTCTACCCCTGATCCTAGATCAGCTAGAGCAGTGGCTCTGAAAATAGGTTGGCTTATCTTTAAAAACTTCACATGCCCCAACCCAAGATCAAAACCACAACCTAGCCGAAACCGGTTTGGCTCAGTGGATAGAATCGAACCCGGGACCTTTCGGTCCTCAGGCTGACGCTCTATCCACTGAGCCAAACCGGTTTCGGTGTGGCCTTTTTTTTTTTTTGAGTATTATCATCTCAACAATATTAAAGCTTCTAGTCCATTAACATGGGATATCTCATTAAGGTCTTTAATTTCTTTCAGTGGTTTGTAGTTATTAGTATACAAGTCTTAAATTTTTTTTGTTAAATTTTTTCCTAAGTATTTTTTTTTTTTATGACACTGTAAATGAGATTTTTTTTCTTAATTTATCTTTGAGGTTGTTCATTGCTAATATAAAGAAGTAGAATTAATTTTTGTATATTAATTTTGTATCTTGCAAGATTGTTTATTGATTCCAAGAGTGTGTATTCCTTAGTATTTTCCATATACAAGGTCATATCATCTGCCAATAGAGATCATGTTATCTTTTTTCCAATCTGGATGCCTGTTATCTTTTTTTGCCTAATTACTCTGGTTTGAATGAGAGTATAGTATTTGTCTTGTTCCTGATCTTAGAAAAGCTTTTAGTCTTTCACTGTTATGATTTTAGCACTGGGTTTTTCATAAATGCCCTTTATTATTTTGAGAAAATTTTCCTCTATTCCCATTGGAGTGTTTTTGTCCTATTAAAAATAATTTTGTCGAATGCATTATTTTATGTCTTTGGAGATGATTATGTAGTTTTTGTCCTGTATTTATATGTATTTTGTTATTGAGTCATTTAACAAACTTTAGTGAGCATCTGTTATGTGCCAGAAAGCATAGATGACTAAGGTCATTGTTGTTAAGGAGTTCTGTGAATAGCAAGAAAGACAAGAATGGTTAAGTGCTGTGGCAGAGGGAAGCATAAAGAGCTGTGGGAATTTAACCCAGCCTTGTGATTTCCAGGGGACATGGCACGTAGCCAGAGAACTGAAGGAAAAGTAAGTTAGCTGGGGGAAGGTTGGAGGGCAGTGCATTCTTAGAATAGAAGAGGTATGTGTGAAGTCATGGAAGTAGACCTTGAGAGCATAGTATGTTTGGGGAAACTCCTAAGCAGTTAAACCATCAAGGAGTAACCGAGGAGAGTACTGTCTGTCTTGCGTTGGCAGGCAACAGTTCAGAACTTCAAGCAGGCCTTTCGGAAGCCTGTCAGACCCCAAAGTAGAAGCAGTTCAGAAATAACCTTCTTGTACGTATATAAACCAATGGCCGCAGTTCATCTTCATGGCCCATTTCTGATTTGTTTTCCTTTGGATCACTTTCCAGCATCCGCACTTCTACCAATAGCCAGGTCAGTAAGCTGACCCTTTCAGGAAGTGAAAGTGTGATCCTCCGTGAAACATCTACCAATGGTGCCAGCGACGAAGAAGAGGGGCAGCCGCGGCGGGCTGTGGACAACGAGAAAGAGGGCGTTCAGTATAACTACGCTATGTTCCACCTGATGCTCTGCCTGGCTTCCTTGTACATCATGATGACCGTGACTGGCTGGTACAGGTAGGAGGCTGAGACGACGAGATGGAAGATCACTTAGCCTCCTTGCGCTGACTAAAATCTCCATCCATTTTCCTGACTTTAGAATCCCTTATCTTACCTATAGAACAAGTTGTCTTCAATGCCGACTCTTTTTCTGAAATACTTTTGACTTTTTCTCCTCTTGGATTTAAAATCCAGTTGGGATTCTCACAGTGCAGATTATGGGGAGCTTTTCCAAACTTGAGTGCTTGAGAGAGAAAATCATGACATAAAGCTAATCTTTGATCTCTAATTTTTCTCTGTGTCTAGAGAGGGTCATATAGAGTATTCTGATCCAAGTAATGATTCGTAAGGAAGGTGAGTTTCAGGGAGACCATTTTGATCTAGACTTTTATCAGATGTTCCGAAAGAACTTTGCCCAAAGAAGATAGTAGTCAGGGCTCTTCATGCTGGCAAGATACAAGCCATTTGAGAGGTAGGGTTCAAAAAAACAAAAGTAGCTGTTTCCTAGATCCCTTCTAGAACCTTACTAAGGATAGTGTCAGCCAAGTTTCCCTGGAGAATTTCCTGGCTTTGGCGTGGGGGCTGCTCGATTCTGGAGTCAGGCTCCTTTTTCTGACTTTCTTCTGTTTTCTTAGCCCTGATGCAGAGTTCCAGAATGTTACCAGCATGTGGCCGGCTGTGTGGGTCAAGATCAGCTCCAGCTGGGTCTGCCTCCTCCTCTACGCCTGGAGCCTTGTGGCTCCAGTTGTCCTCACCAATCGAGACTTCAGCTGAACCTCTGAGTGCCCGGGACACCACATAACGGCTCCCTTTGCGGAAAGCCCCTTTTACTTTTGCTTCAACTAAACTATTAAGTGAATGCTTTGCGAAGTTGACTATATCCAAGTGCATATCCCCAGGCAAGATTGAATTATGATTGATACAGGATCTGAATTTTTTATTTACATGTACATTGTTTATTTTTAAGGATATAATAGTGCAAAGGGAACTTTTTGCCTTGTAAAGTGAACTACAGCTGTGCTGTGAAGAGTGTTCTTTATTAAGACCCGTAGGTTCCTACAATTTTGTTTTAAAATAGAAAAATATTGGATATTTGAGGCCATTGTTAATATATTTCTATTGCAATATCCTTAAAGAGCAGGAAGGAAAAGTAATAATGTACTTCTATGACAGTTTTCCTCTGTGAAAGTCTTTACTTGTTGATGCAAACATTCTGTTCAGTCCATAAACTCTTAAGAGGAATAGTATCATAGTAATTGGGCAAAGGAGTATATTTGGGGTCCTTCCCCAGAAGAGGGGTTGCTGATAGGGCTGCTGCTTCTGCATCTTAAGACTTCATTTTTTTATATTACAGCATTGACACTGCTCGATTCAAGTATGTGGCTTTGCCAGAACATTAATTTCAATAAATGCTTTGTAGGTTTGGTTAAAAATGAGGACTCACTTAGGAAAAAACTGCAGCTTCAGTCAATGTAATTATTTTGTTATGAGTATGTAAAAGTAAAATGCACGTGAATTTATTATATTTGCACTAGAAGGTATTTGATTAAAATAGACTTACACTTTTAAGGCCCTTTAACAGCTTTTATGAATTAGCAGCCATTCTATATTTTTTTAGACTTGTATAGGCAGTCAAATTTATCAGCAGAATGCATCTATTCCTTCTAAAACTTAAGGGCTGGTGAGAAAAGTCTTGAACTCATTCAAAAAATGTACCAATAAATACCTTCTCTAGGTAAGATCCTTGGGTAGGTGAGAGGCGGGGACAGGGACTGGCGGGAACCCTCCATGAGAGAGAGCAGGCAAGGAGTTAGAGATCTGTTCTTTTAGCGAAGATTTACTGTCTGTTCTTTACCAGCCCATCAGGCTCTGGGATACAGCTTTAAGAATGACAGACACTAGCTCTACCATCTTGACTCACAGTTTCCAAGAGGGTGAAAATGAGCTGACAACTGGTACAATGTGTGTGATTAGTCCTGTGACTTAGGAATTGCAAAGGTGCCCAGGTGAGGGTGTCATTCATGGTAGGCTTCCTGGAAAAAGGGATGTCTAAGCCACGAATTGTTAGACGTTAGCTAAGAGATGGGAAATGGGACCACAGTGCTGGAAAGCAGACAAGTCTGCATGTTAAAGGCAGGGAGGTTTTTAAAGACTTGTTTAGTAAAGCTGGACTGGGGAGAAATGGGCAGGGACTAGGTTAGGAAGGGCTTTATAAACCACACTAAAGAGTTTGGACCTCACGTTGAGGGCAGTGGGGAGCATATTCATAGTGGCATGAATAAATTGTGTCTTCAATCACTGTATATAGAGAATGGGGTTAGAGAGAGAAGACCAGGGTAGTCCATGTAAGATTTGAAACAGAGAAGTAAACATGAGGATGGAGAGAAATCGACAGATCAGAGCTGCTTAGTAATTAAAATTTTAAAATGGGCAGGTGATTAGCTATGGGGGAGAAATAGATTCCTGAGTGACTCTGGTCTAATCACCTAGGTCAGTGGTGGTTCTATATGTATGGGAGGGGCAGGAAGAGGGACAAGGTGTGTTAGAAGGATGAAGGTGTGGTCCCTTAGGAATGGCTAAGAGCATATGCTTGGAAGACCAACAGGGTTTGCATCAGTTTTGCCATTTTCTATTGGCATCTAATACTTACTGAGAATATACTAAGCTTTATGACTCTGGGTGGTAACTACCTGTCTGAGGCTCATTGTTTTCTTTGTTTGAACAAAAGATAGTACCTAGTACGTTAGATTGCTTAGAGTAAAGTTACTTTGTCAAGTGCTTAACCCACCTTGAGCTCTCTGGTAGTAGCTGGTAATCTGAATATGGGCTAAATAGCAACTGGACAACATTCGAAGTCATAGATTTTCAGCCAAAATCTAGTGCAGGCTAGAATGAGGTATTCTTACAGAATTAAACATAGAGAACATAAAGGGCACAATCTCGGTTGGGGTGCAGGTGTTGGGGGGTAGGGAAGCAGGGCTTGATAATAGGAATTGTTGGAACTACCATCTTTTAAACCAGTGATTAATGTTGGGGTGCAGAGATAAGGTTGTAAAGGATTTGGGGGTCAGATAGGGCAGGTTTAGCCCTTTCCCAGTGTAAAGCAGATACCCCACTTTCCTTAACAGCAGGGCCACCCAGATCAAACTCATTAAAGGTCCTAAACTTCGGAAACATGGTACACCCCCTTCGCCACCTTATATAATTCAAAATAAAAGCAATACTAAACGGTAAAATAGGTTTCATAAAGTTTTTAAATTTTTTCTTATCATGATAGAAAATTTGATATTTAATTTAAAATAACAAATTTTCTTTAAAATTTAGGGGGCAGTGTCCCCCTGTACATAGTTTTAAGTTGAAAACACAGTAGTGTAGCCAAGATTGAAGTGATTGCCCACATGAGTGCTGAGTCACAAACAAGCATAGGTATCAGCATCTTGACTAAGCCCAGGGTCAGACTGGAAATCAGGGGGGGTATTCTGAATCCTCAGACCTCATGGTGCCATCTCACTCAGATGAGTCGCCCAGGGCTTCATCACCATTCACAGTCCTGTCTGTCTCCCAGGACTACTGACCAGGACCTGGCTTGGAGGTCCCCAGTATGCTGTAGGGATTCATCAAAGGCAACATCTAAGAGAAAGCTCGTAGGCCCATTATTTTCTAGGTGGTTGTTACAACCACCTAGTTTTATTTCTTTGGGAAATAAAACTTTCTCTTGACAACCGAAGATAGTGCCAAAGAATGACCATGAACCTGGTTGTTGGTGCTTTTAATGTTCTGGGCCCAATCCTAACTCAGGCTTAGTTTAAACCAGGACAGCTTTTTTGTCCAAGTCCTTGCTGGACTGTACTTTTCTTTTTACACATTAAGTTAAAATGAGTATTCAATAATATGAGTCATGCATTTGATCTTTGCAGATTGATGGCAGATACCAGGCTTATGCTTGCTTACTAACGGGCTCAGCACTTTATCTCTTTACTTCTTTGTGTTGGTCTATTGTTTCCATCGTGGTACCTACTCAGAGATGTTCTAAGTCCTGCTGGGTGACTCACCATGCCATGCCTGTAACCTTGGGCGAAGAACAGTCATGACTACCACATAAATACCTACATGTACCAAGCAGTGAACACACACTGTCCACACCCCTGCGACGTGGTGGCGGTTCTCTCTTTTCCAGGTCAAACCGAGGCCGAGAGAGCTTGGTGATCTGCCCAGTTACACAGAAACAAACCTCAGGCTTGGTTCTTTCCTCAGTTAGACCCCACTGTCCTTTGACCTACTAGGATGCAGGAGAAATGTCAACTAGAGACTGCTTGGACCTACAGAGGAGTCAGCTGGCGCTCTAAGCTTACCCATCACTTAATAGAGGAAACTTAGTCATCCCCGAAGGTAGTACCTAGCATCTTAATAGGTCACTATCTCTAATGGCTGGCACCTTGTCAGGTAAGAGGGTGAACATTTAGTTAAAACATTTTTCCCAGTAAAGTGGCATCTTAAATGATTTTATTACTCACCAGCTGTAAATGCAATAATGTGAAATACTTGCTGCCATTTACTATAGGAATGCCAAACCAGTACTATGTCAAGAGTGGGCAGTAGGGAAACTAAGGTATTTTAGAAAAGAAGAAAATGCTGACTCATAACATAGACAGTAACTCCAGTGGCTTATAAAGTGCGTCATAACTACCTTGTAACACTGCTATAAGGTGAGGACTGGGGCCATTAGCTCCATGTTTCCAGGTGTGAGAGAGAAACTGAGCGTAAGCCCCACGGGTTCCACCGGGAAGACTGACCTGAAGAGCTATGTTGCAATGTGAGTCCTTACCTGTCGAGTCATCAGAAGCCAACAGTGAATGTATGGACATCCTGCATGAGTGTTTCTCACTGAGTCGTCACCAACACACAAGACCCACCATGGGGACCTGGATTTGTCTCTGGGGCAGAGTGCGTGCTCCTCTATAGAAACAAATGGGACAGGTAGAGAAACGGCTAAGCATGCAGAGGCCCATTGATCAAGCCATACCCGTCACCCTCCCAAGGAGTCCAGGTTTACTTATAGGTGCTTCTAGAATAATATGTTCCATTACAACTTGGGTGTCAGAAGTTAAGAAACTCTGTATTTTCTAAGAAGCCTAAGTAAATAAAGCCTTTTAGAGCTCCCTCACTCTAAAAGTTCCTTCCTTTTGTGTTCTGTCCATGGACTGACAATAAGAATTAAAGAGAAGTGCACAGCCTAACGGCCGACTGCCTGGCTTTAAATCCCAGTTCTACTGGGTTAGCTGTGTGTCCTTGGGCAAAATGCTCAGCTTCTGTCTCTCACCCCACCGGGCAATAATCCTGCTTCACGAAGGGCCTTGACAAACGAGGTTATCTACGTGAAGGACACCATCATGCTCAGCCCACTTGGGCTCTCGGGAACTGTTCACTATCACTAGAAGGATTCAGGCCTGCTCCAGAAAGTGCACCTGGGCCTTGAGTACCAAAAAATGTGCACACTGCACCACTGCATCCACTCCGTCCTCCTTTCTACACACTGGCGTCTTCTAATCGCACATGACCTCCAGCGCAGCAGCCCTGCGTCTGCAGGACGCACTGCTGGGAGCGCCCTCCTGCATGCCAGGATAACAAGCTGCCATTGTCACAAAGGGACTCCACACACGTTTGTCCTTCCAGGGGTTTTTATTGTAGACCCAGTCATGCATACTAAAATTACACGTTTTCACCACTTTGACTTAGAAAATGCACTAGAAAAATAAACTTTTGGTCAAAACAAACACTGAAGTAGATGACTCCGCCACCATGTGTCCCTATACTCAGAGCCAAACTGAATTTCAGTTTGAAGTGAGGAATGTAGCCAGTGGCTGAAATGGTGCCCCAATCTGGTCAGAAAGCTGGCCCACCTCCCACCCATCAAAGTGGGGTCAGAGGCTGTTGGCCTCAGGAAAGTTTAAAGTATTTCTCTTGTAACAGGGTTCCACCTGATGTGCCAGGAGGCGAGGCACATCTGCAAGAATCCCCGAGGGCAGCTGACTGGCTGTCCGGCTGAACACGTCGCCCAGTGAGATGGAAGGAAATGCAGCGAATTGGCAAACGGTGAATTCATCACTAGCATCTTCATCTAACAAATCACACTGGGCTTCCCCATGGAGCAAATGCTAAAGAGGGATATCTGACTGATGTCTGCTCCTTGCATTTTAAGCAAGCCATTTTCTGAGTCCAGAAAGCAGAAAGAAAATGAAGTGAAATTCACAAAATTAACAGATCCCAGTACCCAGGAGTGTGAGAACTGCCATCATTCCCGAACAGTCATGTTTGGCATCTCCACCCCTTTCCTGCCACAGGACAGCCATACTTACACATTAGCTATCATTTTACTCCCTCAACGAAAGAGCTTTCAAAGGAAAACTTTAATATGAGGTATTATAATAATGCCAGGGTACCACCACCTTTTCATTTGCCTACCCAAATAAAAAGAATAACCCCACAACTGATCTGAGAATCAGATGGCATTTAAAGAAACTGCCCACCAGGGAGAATTCTGAAAGGCTCAATGTCTCATAGGAATTTAGGGGGAAATTCTCTACCCTGCCACTTTTTGGCCAAATAAAATAAAATAAATATATATATCTTATAAGCTAAAGTGTTTATAAACCTGCCAAGACCGGTTTGGCTCAATGGATAGAACGTCGGCCTGCGGACTGAAAGGTCCCGGGTTCGATTCCGGTCAAGGGCATGTATGTACATTGGTTGCGGACACATCTCCGGTGGGGGGGGTGCAGGAGGCAGCTGGTCGATGATTCTCCCTCATCGATGTTTCTAGCTATCTCTCTCCCTTCCTCTCTGTAAAAAATCAATAAAAATATATTAAAGTGTTTATAAACCTAAGGACAGGTGGCTCCCTATGAAAGCAGGATGAAACATGAGGGAGTTCAAGAGGTAGCCAGGGTTGCATTTCTGGCTGTTTCTATTTCTTTCGGGAGATTCTACCTCTCCATGAATGTAGAATGGGATTCCAGGAAGAGACACTTTTGTGTAGCAATATGGGGGAAGGAGGAACCATATTACCTAAACTTATATTTGGAAGTTTTAGGTACTTCCTGAATTACCCAGCTTGGGGCGGGGGGAGGAAGAAGGGACTGGGGCAGGATGATCGATGCTGGGAAGGGAGGGTTCAGAGTCAGGGTGTGATCCCTTTTAGTACAGAATGGATTCAGGAGTGTGCACCCCAAATCACACAGCTAGGTACAGCTAGAACTCAGGTCTCCTGATTGACTCTTCTTTTCCATTCCCCACTCTACACACTACCCTGCATTGTGGGGAAAGTTCGTTTTCAGGAGCCTGTGGGATGGGCTGGAGCTTTTCCCTAAAGGAAAGCACTCCCCGTTCTCCGCTGTTCACGGCTGTGGCTGTGCGTCTGTGTGCCTCCACTAATGAGTGTGGCTCCCTGTCCTCCTGCTGGGGAAACTGGAGATGCTTGTGAAGCCACACACAGACTGCCTTGATTTTCCCCCAGGGAGGCCCTTGTTTCCCAGCTTGCTTCAAACTCCTCAGGTGCCAAACGATTGGATCCCTCTGAGGGGCCACTACAAAGCAGCAGCTCTAGAAGGCAGGCAGGCAGACAAATCCTGGCTCTGACTCCTTTCAGAAGCTGAAACAGCTCCTGGGTCCAATGACAAAGGCCTGACCAGCATCCTTGCTGGTCTCTGAGATGATTCTCTAGGTGAGCTTGGCCACTCCTATTGAAGTCACATAGACAAAGGCATGCAATGGAATGCCGTTTCAACCTTGGAAACTTGGTGAGGCTGAGCAACTCATTTCTCTCTGTCTAGCGGGTTTCAAATTTTCCCCCCCCCTTTAAAAAAAAAATCTCTTTGGGAACTAGGAAAGCCTCTAACCAATTTTCCCATCCAAGCAGATGGGTCTTAAACCTCTACCTGCATTAGCCACCCCATTTGTCCTATTTAGAGCTTTTCAGCAATGCTGGTCACATCGGCACTGTCAAGACGGAACTAGAGGCAGCCAGGAGTGTACATTTTGACACTTTCAGCTCAGCCAGATCTCTAGAGGATCCATGGTTAGTATCTATGGTGAAAAGAATTTTCCCTAGAATTGGCACTAATGAGGTACATAACTTCTACCAACAACCTCTCCAGACATTTTTAAAGTGCTATAAAGATGAACAGCTTATTTGCAACAGACTGGCCTTGGAATTTCGGTGTACTGTTCACTTCCACCTTGCCTGGTGGCCTAATAATGCACAGAGAAGGTACACACACAATACATAGTACTGGTTACTTTAACGTCATCATTTACATGGGATGAATAGGAAAGGAAATAAGTCAAAAGCCATGAGATGAACCACCTAATATGATGCCTGGGCAAAGGCTAAATTCTTGACAGGATGAGTCTAAAGTATGGAACTGCAGAACAAACATCCACTCTGGCTGGATAGACTAAAGTGTGCCCATCCACAACACAGAGAAATGCCGGGAGTCTGGGAGGGCAGGGGCCCTCAGGAGTGACCTTGTATTCATTTCCAGAGACCAAAATTTCAGAATCCCAAGTAACTTAACCATTCCCTGCTGCCAGCTTTACAATTATACGACCAGAATCTCAGGGATGGAGTTCATACAAGAACCTGGTCGTCTCACCTGCCTGCCCTCACAAAAGCCATTCAAGTTTAACCCTCACTAGGAAAAGGAGGCTGGTATCACTGAGTTCCAGGAATATACATACTTGTTTCTTTAAAGGCAGGGCCAAATGGTGACTGACTGACACATCCCTCCTGGAAAGGCCCAGGTGTACCACAGAAAACAGGATCCTACCACTTGCATCTAGAGAGTCCTCTTTCTAGGTGGAAAAGCAATGTCTAATGTCCAATAACGAAACCAAACCCCAGGACCTCAGCAGCCCAAAGGGCCGGATGTGTCATTTCATTTAGCATCATTTTACAGATGAGGACACTGAGGCTCACAGAGCCACATGTCTGACGCTGGAGCTCAGGTCTCTTAATTCTTTGGCCAGCATTCTTTTAGCCACACAGGTCTGGAGTTAGGGTTCACGGAAAAGACACAAACTCCTCAAGTCTCACATGTGGCCACCATGCAGGCTTGACCTGTGTTTCATAGTGTGCTGACTGGCCAATCGGGTTGTTTTCTCCCCAAGATGGGATCAAAGTGACTTTGGTCCTCATTCTTCCTGCTTTGAGATGTTTAAGAACCAGATACAACTTCGAGATGAATGGTTGCAAACTGGGATTCCACAAATTTGGGAATCATTGCGGACGTTTTCCACGTCTTCCGTGGAATAATTCAAGTAATAAAGGGCATGCCCTTTCACTCACGCTCAGCTTTTCCTCCATGCTGCAGCTTAATTAGCAGGAGCAAGAATCCATGGCACCTAAAATTCTCCATGTGCCTCCCCAAAGAGAAAAAGGAAAGGACTTAAAGCTGGTGATGCTCAGAGGGACTGGCTAGTAGCAGGAGTACAGCTGTGATTTCACGGCCCGCATGGAGTCATCGCACTGCGCCTCTGAGGTCAGCCCCTCAGGCAGCAGGGCCCGCCCCAGGATGCTGTCGCAGGCAGGGACAGGTTGGCAGAACTCTCTCACAAAGTCCTCCTCCGAGGCCAGCAGCACCGCGTTCCAGGCAGCCGTGTCCAGCTCGCCAGCCGTGCCCCCGTACTCCTTGGGGAGAATGCTTTTTGGAAGGTTTGTGTGGAGAGAGTTGAGGTCAGACCCGTGGAGGAAAAACTAGAAGGGAAGGAAATGAAAAACACACCTGGCCTTAGGTTAGTCAGTAATTCACTGACCTCCTTCATGTGATGTGCTCAAATAAATATCTTGAATGAATTAAGAAATGGTTGATGACAACTCTACCCCTCCAGTTCCTTGAAAAGCTTGAGGATCCTTAATTTTCTATTTTTTATACCAAGTGCCCTGTTGGCTGCTCCTTCAGATGAGATCGGGCGCGTTCAGGGTGGTATGGCTGTAGACTGCTCCTTTAAAATATACCCAGAATCCAACCACTTCACTGCCACTCTAATGGTGCTATGCCACCATCGTCTCTACCTAGATTCTCACAACAACCTTCTGGTCTCCCTGCTTGCACCTTGTCCCACCACAATCTAAGCTCATTTCGGGGGATGTCAGATCATGTCACTCCTCTGAACAACTCTCCAGTGCTTCCATCTCACAGATTAAATGCCAAAGGTCATATGATCTAGCCCCCGTTACTTCTCTGCCTCCCTCTTCTCCTACTTCCCCTCTGCTGCCCCTTCTGTATGCCAGGCGCGCTTCCACCCCAGGATAGGGCTGTTGCTGGTCCCAGGGATCTGTAAGGCTCATTCCCTTGCCTCTTTCAATACTTTACTCCAACTTCTCAATGACGCTACCTCTAACCACCCTGTTGAAAACTACAACCCTTTCCCCCTTCCATACTCACTAACTCCTTTCACTGCTTCATTTCTCTCCATTGCACTCATCACATTCTAATACCAGGTAACATATAATTCGTTGTCTATGTCTCCCTAGAACAGGGGTGGGGAACCTTTTTACTGCCAAAAGCCATCTGGATATTTATAACATCATTCTCAAGCCACACAAAATTATTAATTTAAAAATCAGCCTGCTATATTTGGTCAAACATTTATTTGACTCATCCCTATTGCCTTGGCAGGGCCAGGCCAAAAGATTTTGTGGACTTTAATATGGCCTGTGGTCTAGAAATTCTCCACTCCTGCCCTAGAATGTAAGCTTCCTGGGGACCAAGAATTTGGTCTATTTTGTTTATCTAGAACCGTGGTCGGCAAACTGCGGCTCGCAAACCATATGTGGCTCTTTGGCTCCTTGAATGTGGCTTTTCCACAAAATATCATGGCCTGGGCAGGTCTATTTTGAAGAAGTGGCGTTAGAAGAAGTTTAAGCTTAAAAAATTTAGCTCTCAAAAGAAATTTCAATCGTTGTACTGTTGATATTTGGCTCTGTTGACTAATGAGTTTGCCAACCACTGATCTAGAACATACTCACACATAGTATTTGATCAATATTTTTGAATGAATGAATTACCATATGAAGGACCAAAGGAATAAGATTGTGGGCCACAAATAAGGTCATTTCACAGATGTAGAAAAAAAGACTTGGCCCAAAGCCTGCTTTGGAAAAAGCCAGTTCCAAATAGGAGCTCCAGAAACCAACACAGGCTCAAACCCAGGTGTGGAGGCCACTAAGTTAGTGGTTCTCAGACCTAACTGTGCATCAGAATCTCCGAGGAGATTTTAAAAGCACAGATTCCTGGGCTCTACCCCTGAGCTGATGAATTAACACCTTCAGGGACTTCAGCTAGTGTGGCTCAGGGTTTGAGTGTTGACCTAAGAACCAGGAGGTCTTGGTTCAATTCCTGGTCAGGGCACATGCCAGGGTTGTGGGTTTGATCCCCAGTGGAGAGTATGAGCATGCAGGAGGCAGCTGATCAATGATTCTCTCTCATTTTTGATGTTTCTATCTCTCTCTCCCTGCCTTTCTGAAATCAATAAAAAAATATTAAAAAAAAATCTTCAGAAAAAGATCTGGGGATCTGGATTTTAAGTTCTTTCTCTTGCAATCTTGAGATTCTCTTTCTGTGCTTCCTCTTTGGAAAAAAAAAAAAAATTATGTAATTCAAGACCCAGTCTTTGGAGTGATCACAATGTTCCGAGGCTCGGGAGGGGAAAACTACCACCCACCTCATTTCAATCACGGAGCTGGAGAAGGCTCTTCCATCTTTTCAAGTGTCATTTACCCTTTCTTAAATAAGAATTAAGCTAAAAGCTCAACTGCCTCATGAAGCTTGAATTATTCCACAAACTTTATACAGTCAGACAACAAATTAGGTAACTGGGAAGGCTTAAATAGTATTTTGAAACCCAAGGAGCTGTAGTAAGAAATTTCCAAAGCTCTTCTTAAGCACCTGCCACATGACTACCCCTTTCCATCCTCTTACATGTAAAATATAATGTTGGTTTACAATGGCCAGCCCAGGACATAAAAATGTCTGTCTGAGCACAGAGCAGCGAAGCTCTTAGATAACAATTCTGGCTTTGCTCTCTCTATTGTCAAATATTATATTCTTATTCTTCTTCACCTCACAGGAAGTATTGTTCATTGTACTTTCCAAATTAATAGTTCCAGGGCAAAAATAATAAACTAAGTTTATTGATGTCACAAATAAGGAAGCAGAAACAAAAGTAAAGTATCTTAAGTTAGTAGAACCATCACTTACTCTGTTTGCTATTTTCTCCTTTAGAAATGGTTTTATGATGGCAAAAATGCCTTTAAATATTCGAGGTTCATTCACGACATGGACCGCTTTAATCCGAATGGGGAAGCCATCCTGTGGGGGAAAGGAAGGGGATGTTAGAACATACGGAGTATTTGCAAACTGTCTGTTACCACAGCCTGCCTCTCCCCGTGAAACCTTCAGTCTGGTCTGATTCTCAAGGTCTCCTCAAAGAAACCCAGGTAGGGGCTAAACAGGAAGGTAAAAAGTAGTCTGAGCCTATGTGGATGGATCTATTATAGTAACTATCAGAGCTGCCCCACATGTATTTCTCAGGATGTTATAAGGTGTGATGTAAAGAAGCATTTTGTGGCAGGTAAATGAGTTTGAGAAGTAGCAAACTAAATATAGTCAGCCAGATTTCCTTTAACTGCAGAACGTTCAGAGCCTTAAATGCAAATGTTTACAGTGACAGTCACAAGGAAGGGACTTGCTTTATCATATTTCTCAAATTTATTTAACCCTGGGATTTTGTCTCTCCGATCATCTTACAGCAAACAATAATCTAAATTCATTATGCTGACCCTTAAATCTACCTGGGGTTTAGCAGGAGGAATCAGAAGAGTAGAAGCCAAGGAAAGCAAGAGCGCTGCCTCAATGCCAGAATTCAAACTTCAAATAATGACACAATGTGACACTGAAGTCCTCAGCCTGGGGCACAGGAGGGCCTCAAACACACTGAGAACTGTTCCATCTCTGGTCCCCACAGCTCACAGGAGCCAGCACCCAGGGGCTGCGTCAGAATGAGCTAGGAGTCAAGCCGGAGAGACCTGGGCCACACTTTATCTGCTAGGTCTGTTTCTCCGCCTAACCGAAAAAGAAAAAGAATTCTTGACTTGTCTATCTGAAAGGGTTCCTTAAAGCGCTGACTGGTTATGATGGCGGTAAAAGTCTTTTCTTTACCAACCATTACACCCTGTGAAGGCACATAGTGACCGCGCCCTGCATCATGTTGGGAACTTGATGGTTCTCAGTGACTTGTGTTCTGAGACACAACTTGAGGGGTGAAAGCATCGGGCCAAACAGTCCAACAGGACTCCCCACCCGCAGGTCCCACAGGCGGCACGGCAGGCTCTATGACCTTGGGCAGAAACAATTTCTCAGTTTCACCTGTTAGGAGAATTTCTCCTCTGTCTCCTTGACCAAAAAAAGAGCAGAAAGCATTGCTCTGGTTTTTGGAGTCTTGTCCTGAAAGCCCATCTTGCCTAGATTAAAGGTACCTCAGAAACTGCTGGAGACCCTCGTGGGAATGAGTGGTAAATAGAACTTTTAACGCTTTCGTATTTTCCTGATTGTAGGAGCGGGAAGTGGGGTGTGCGTATCACATGGGTGACTGGACAGGGCCCTGGGGAAACAGCAGAACAGGCGCACGACACATGGGGGCCATACCTGGAGGATGCCAATCACCTTTTTGGCTATAAAAGGGCCAAAGTGAGATGCTTTTGATAAGCTCACTCCTTTGTAGTCCGCAAGAATGACAATTCCATTCACTTGGGTTTCTTCAGACTGAATGAGTTTTTCCAATGTCAAGTATATGACTCGGATGTTTTCGGTAATTGGATAGTTGCTCGGTATCCATCTGTCTAAGGTCATAAGAAACGGTCAATATGCTACAAAAATACATACAAACAATCAGACATGCTAAGCTTTATCTCTGTGCTAACACTGTCCTTTAAAAGCAGAAAAGCAAGATTATATTCAACTGGCATGGCTCTATTGAGGTTAGGAAACTGGACACCTTCAGCAGCAGCTGACATTTCTTAACTCCTGAAATGGAAATGCAATTGTGGTGAAGTCAAAAGTATGAACTCTGAAGTTATACCTTGGGCAAGTTACTTCCTTAGTCTGAACCTATTGTACATCGCCTCATAAATAGAATGGGATAACAGTACTTATTTTATTTTTATTTTTTGCTAATCCTCACCTGAGTTTATTTTTTCCATTGATTTTTAGAACAAGTGAAAGGGAGGTGATGGAGAAGGGGAAAAGAGAGAGAGACACCTATGTGAGAGGAACACATCAATTGGTTGCCTCCCACATGCACCCAGACCAGGGCCAGGGATGGACCTGCAACCCAGGTACATGCCCTTGATGGGGAATCATGCCCTTGATGGCGTATCCCTTGGGTGCGAGAGATGATGCTCTAACCACTTGAGTCACACCAGCCAGGTAAATGATACTTATTTAAATGGACATCTATGCCTTCTGCCATCAGATGTGTCCCTTTATCTTCAGGACATCACCCTGGTTTTCCTTGGGGAACCACCTCTTCCCATGCTAACCATACCGTTTGGGTAAAATTGCGTTGACTCCTGGCTCCAGGTGTGGGCTTGGTTCTGTGAGAGGCTCCTGTCTCCTCAGACTAAATCAGGCATCCTCAAATTTTTTAAAGTGGGGGCCAGATCACGGTCCCTCAGAGAGCTGGAGGGCCGGACTATATGAACTACTAATTCCTACTGTAACACCTCGGCTGCGCTCACTGCCCAAAAAACCTGGCGGGCCGGATCAGACTCCTCTGCGGGCCGCATGTGGCCCGCGGGCCGTAGTTTGAAGACCCTTGGACTAAATCCTCCCTGTTTTCTTAAGCCAAGTTGTGTAGGGTTTGTTATCTGCCATCAAAAGGCCTTGACTGCTGAGACGGGTTTGGCTCAATGGATAGAGCGTCGGCTTGGGGACTGAAGGGTCCCGGGTTCGATTCCGGTCAAGGGCATGTACCTTGGTTGCGGGCATATCCCCAGTAGGGGGTGTGCAAGAGGCAGCTGATCAATGACTCTAAGGTCCCGGGTTCGATTCCGGTCAAGGGCATGTACCTTGGTTGCGGGCATATCCCAGTAGGGGGTGTGCAAGAGGCAGCTGATCGATGACTCTCTCTCATCGATGTTTCTAACTCCCTATCTCTCTCCCTTCCTCTCTGTACAAAATCAATAAAATATATTAAAAAAAAAAAAAAAAAAAAGGCCTTGACTAACACAAGGAGGGGATAAAACGGAAAAGGAAAGGGAGAGAGGGGCTGCCCAGACACATCCCAAACTGAGGCAGTGCACAAGCACACACACACACACACACACACACACACACACACACCCCGCAACAGCTCTGGACAGTACCTGGGCGGATGCAGAGGATAGGGCAGCCCCGGGGGTCGGTGTGGGGCAGCACGGTGAGGAATCCGGAAGCGAGGACCTCTTTCAAGGCCGAGGGCCTCAGGTTATGGAAGACTTCGGGCCAACTCCTCCGGCAGCTGTGGTAGTTGATCAGGAGCTGCAGGGCCCGGTCGTAATCAAACTTGCGGGCCCGGAGGAAGCGCAGCAGGAAGGCGTCGTCCAGAGAGGTGCGCAGGTTGGGGAAGTCCTTCCGCACCATGTCGCGGAGGGCCTGCACGTCCCGAAGCCTCCATTCCGGCTTCTCCTGCAGCTCCTCCCTGGCCTTGGTGACCAGGTCTTCCGTCAGCGAGCACACATAGCCAGGAGGCCTGGGTGCTGGCGGCAGCTCATTTTCGGAAAGTGAGGCCGCAGAAGGGCTAGTTCTCAGAGAGTCACTTTCTTCTGACATTAGCTACCAGGGTGCCTGTCAAGACAGATGCCCTGAGCGGATTAGCAAAGTGCAGCATTATTAACTGGTCGTCTCAAACCCCAGGGCAGCCGATGTAAGGGGACAGGAACATTTTTGTTAAGCCAAGTAACCTCAGAGCACTGGGTCTCAACTAGGGTGCAGGCGTGAACTGGATCTGAGCAACGTGCCCAGGTCCAACCCCAGACTGGATTAAGTTAGAATCTCTATGGAGGCACCCAGACCTGCAGCAGGAAACACACACTCCTCACCCAACACCGTGGCTTTGCTCACAGATGTATGCATGCATGCTCGACGTAACTTGTAATTAAAGAAACGTGAGTTAAAATAACTCTGAAAGTCAGACTGGCAAAATGCAAAATGGGTACTCTGATATGCTTGCTGTTAGGAGAATAAACTAGGTAGCCTCTTTGGATGGCAGTTTGTCATTATCTATCAAAATTTAGCCCTGTCCGGGTGGCTCAGTTGTTTAGAATGTCGTCCTGTACACCCAAAGGTTGTGGGATTATAAAGGCAAAAGAGACTGGAAACACTTTAATTATCTACTAGTTGCAGACTGATTAAGTAATATCACCAAATGAACGGAATGCTATTCGGTCATGAAAGTCAGGCAGAACTTAGAAGCTGATATGATGGGGGGGGGGGAGCAGTTGCAGAACAATGTATATAAAGTAATCATGTTGTGGAGGGCCTGGCAGGTGTGGCTCAGTGGTTTCGAATGGACCTATGAACCAGGAGGTCAGGGTTCGATTCCTGGTCAGAGCACATACCTGGGTTGCAGGCTCCATCCCCAGTAGGGGGCGTGCAGGAGGCAGTCAATCAATGATTCTCATCATTGATGTTTCCAACTCTCTCTCCCTCTTCCTTCCTTTCTGAAATCAATAAAAATAATTGCACTTATGTTTTTAAAATATATACATATATTCACTTGTCAATATACCTAAAATTTCTGAGAAGAGATACAGGAAACTGTTGCCAATAGTTCCCAGAGAACAACTGGAGAACTGGACATTTGAGGTGAGAGAGACTTTTTATTGTACTGTTTGAATTTTTTTTTTTTTTTACCATTTGCAATGTGACTTATTATGGTGGTAATGAAACTCAGTTCATCAGATCTCCTGCTGGGGTGAAGCATTAGTGACAGATGGCCCCAGCTGCTTTCCCCCTGGATCCACCATCCAGGGGATTCACATTTGCACAGACTGCCAATGACGGAGACATGGGACTCCTCTAACAGGTAACCCTCTGCCTCAGGGACTCGCCATCAGCCTGGCCAGCCGAACCTTTCACTGCCCTGCATGCAGTCTTACTGCCCGAACCACCTTCACAGGGCCAGCTCCCCTCCCTTTAGGTTTCATGGGCGTTGCTGCCAGTGGATTTCTTGCATGTCTAATCTCATCTTAGTTTCTGCTTCTTAGAAGACCAGAACCAACACACTTATCAAGTGAAAAACAGAAACAAAAAACAGCTGCCTTAGATATTCCAGGAATAAGACAGTAGGGCTGTCCAAGGGCTGTCACCGAACCCCTGGCGCTCAACGAGGCAGGCAGGGCCATCTCAGGGGTCTCTGCATGCAGCCAGTCACGCCAAGGGCACAGCAGCCCTTGTGACCAGGTTACTTGCCCTACGTCTCAGGGCTGCCCATTCCATTCCTTGCATTCTAACCTCCAGCCCTACCCAGCTTCTTTCACTTCCTCCAGAGGTGTTTTCTTGTGCAACATCCTGTTTCCTCCAACTAATATGCTCGCCCTCTAGTTCATCACCTGATTCATCCTCAAGTTCCAATTAGATGCCACTTTATTCATTCAACAAACTTACTATGTGCCAGGATCACCTCCAGGCACTGGGGACGCAGCAGTGAACATAAAATCCTGCCTTTATTGAGCTTGGATACTAGTGGGGGGCACTATAAACAAAATAAACTATACAGTCTCCACAAGCACTATGGAGAGAGACAGAGCAGGAAGAGGGTGGCTGTATCTGGAGACAGGAGTTGCCGTTTTAAGTAGGGTGGTCACGGAAGGCCCCACCCAATGACAATGGAGCGAAGACAAAGGAGATGGGGAGCACATTGTGCAGGTAGGTATCTGGGGGAACAAGGGTCAAGTCTGAGGCTGGAATCTTCCTGGCCTTTTCAAGGAACAGAGAGGCCAGTGTGGCTAGAGCCAAATGAGCAAGGCAGAGAGTACTAGCAGAGGAATTTAGAGAGGCACCCATTGGACCAGAGCTTTGTAGGCCAATAAAGTTGACCTTGAGTTTGGTGGGAGCAAAGAGGGTTCTGAGTAGTGACATGACCAGATTTACATTTTAAGAGGACTGTTCAGTTGTCTTGCAAATGGAATGGAAGGGGATGAGGATGGAAGTGAAGAGACCATTTAGAGGCCACTGCAATAATCCAGGCGGGAGATGACGGTGCTTGAAGCTGAAGGCCTTCTCGGACTCCAGGCCACCACTCCCTGACATAGCACTCTCCCACTCCACTGTTGTCTGTGGGCAATTTGTGAGCGGCATTCACAACTGTCTTGCTCATCACCTTAAACCCAACACCTACCAGGATGCCAGGCACACAGTCAGAGCTCCATAAATATTTGTTGAATGAGTTTCATCTGCTTGGCAGAGGTATGCTGAGCAAGGAATGGAACAAGCACAGATTCACAGGACCCACCCTGGACTTTGTTTCCAGGGGAGTTACCACAGATGCCTGTAATCCCAATTCCGTGCTTACCCAGGAGAAAGACTGCCACGTCCATGCCACAGCCTCAGGGTCTTTTTCAGCCTGTCTCCTAGTTTCCCACCTCTCAAAGCATACTAAGTGCCAGTCAAAACAAACTAATGTCCCACCATTCTCAGAACACCTCATGTATTTATGATATTTCTACTGAAATCTCCTCTCCTTTTGTTCTCACCCAGACAACTCATCACCTTCCAGACCCAGCTTCATTGTCACCTCCTCGGTGAAGCCTTCCCTGATTCCCATAAGGCAGTGGTCAGCAAACTCATTAGTCAACAGAGCCAAATATCAACAGTACAATGATTGGAATTCCTTTTGAGAGCCCAATTTTTTAAACTTAAACTTCTTCTAATGCCACTTCTTCAAAATAGACCTGCCCAGGCCGTGGTATTTTGTGGAATAGCCACACTCAAGAGACCAAAGAACCGCATGTGGCTCTTGAGCCACAGGTTTGCCGACCACGGCCCTAGGGTAACTCCCTTGTGTTCCACAGCACCTGCTTCTTTAAGAAATGGCAGTTCAAGACATAAACCACTCCTCAGGGTCTGTCTCACCAACCTTTCATTATCAAGTAATCACTGATCACCTATCATGAGTCAGGCACTGTGCTCACAGCAATGGGCATACAACAGAGAACAATATAATTTTCTTGGCCTTAGGAAGTTCAACTTACAGTGGAATACTGAAGAGGTAATACGTATTTGAGCATTTTACCATGTATTGAGCATGGTGATAACAACTTTTCTTTTAATCTTCACAGTATTTGGGGACGGCTCTATTACTCCTCCCATTTACAAAGGGAGGAAACTGCCCACTAGAATGTAAATTCCATGGGGCAGACAATTTGCCTGGCATGTTCACAGATGCTCAGGACCGTCAGCGGATGATGTGGAGGTAAGTGACGTGCCAGGGATACACACTCAGCGGGCTCTGCACTCCACCTGCAGCCTCCGGGCTAATCTCCAGGGTCAGGGCAGTCGTCAGGCACAGAGCTGATGGGTGGGCCCAGGGAGGAGTGCAAACCCTATCCGTTAGGGTGGAGCCACGAATCTTCCTCACCTGAGTCCATCATCCTGTGAGCATCACCATCATCCCGTGAGCATCACCATCCTCCTGCATCACCTTCCTCCCCACGCCACCCAAACCAGGAGAGGTCTAGAGGCCATCGCTCCTGGAGCCCCACACACCCTACCTCCCTAGCAGCCTTTCGAGACCCCCCACTTCCGGTTGTCACCCCTTCCCCAGGAGGCCCCATTTCCTGGGGTCTCTCTCCTCGGGTCCCCCACTTCCGGTTTTCCCTCCCTCTCAAGGGTCCCCTTCCCTGTCCCCCAGGGCCACGGACGGGCTCGCAGGCACTCACCGGCCCGGTTGCGGGGCGGAGCGCGGGTCAGTGCGCGGGTCAGTCGGCGGCGGGAGCCTCGTCCGCAGCGCGCGCAGAACGACCCGCACTCCTGGCCCGCCCGGCCCCGCCCCTCGCGCCGCCGGAAGTGACGTACCAGGGCGTGCGAAGGCAGGCAGCGCCGTCAGTGCGCATGTGCGATGTCTGGCCCCGGTGTCGGTCTTTTGGCGCCACCTGGCGGCCGGAGCCCGCGCAGTGGAACAGGAGCCGGAGGAGAGGCTGGCTGGGAGAAAGGGAACGCCTGCACGTTCAGATGGGCTAGCTGGGGAAACTGAGGCCCAGAGAAAGAAGGAAAAGAGCTGCCTTTTGCAGAGAACGTAGCTACCGTGCGCCTGGTGTTTTACATTTATTCTCTCAGTAAATCTTCATATTGATGGAAACTTTCATGAAAGGGAAACTGGCAGTCAGTGGAGTAAATGGCTTTAAACCTATATTTCGGGATTAGCCTTCCAGGATTCTTTTCTGCTTTGGGGTCCATGAAGTCCCCTTGAAGGGGGCGGTAAATTGAATAAGGTTCTACTAGCCAACAACCCCAGTTCATTAAAATCCCCAGGCCGCCAACATATAGAGTATTTTGTGCAACTACAACTTTGATAGAAATCTAGATCCCTCTATCAGGCAGAGGAAAGATGCTAAACCATTTCTGGAGAGAGACATGCTGTCATCCAGGAGGACTCAACCCCAAAGGCGTACTCAAGAGATGACCTAATTCCTTCCTTTCCCCACCCCAGGGGCAAGAGGACCCAGGGAGATGGGAACCGACCGGAGTGTGTGATGCTAGATTGTGTGAAAACCAGCAATTACAGAGTCTTTGAATTTTATCTCCTGTGTGGAAGAAAGAAACTACATATGCAATATAGGATAAGTTAAGTAAAAGCCCCAAAATGCTGCATTCGCATTGGAAATATCAGTATGAATTCAAGAGATGTTTTATTTTGGGAAAGAAATGTATACTACTATGTATGTATACATACATATATACAGGCACATACATTAATATATACTATATTCTGCATATTTAACATGCCTAGTTCTATCCCCTAGAAAGGCCTAGAAACAAATACTAACAAAGAGCCTATCTAACACTCAGATTTTAGCCTTGAAATGCTATTTTTCTTTTTTTAAAAAAAATATATTTTATTGATTTTGTACAGAGAGGAAGGGAGAGAGATAGAGAGTGAGATACATCTATCAGCTGCCTCTTGCACACCCCCTACTGGGGATATGCCCGCAACCAAAGTACATGCCCTTGACCAGAATCGAACCCGGGTCCCTTCAGTCCCCAAGCCGACGCTCTATCCATTGAGTCAAACCGGTCTCGGCAAAATGCTATTTTTCTATTTAGAAACATAAAGGGACCGCTTGGAGAAATTGCTGATTACAGATACTGTATACAAGATGAGGCTGGAATGTCTCGTCATACTTGATATCAAAGGCACAAGGGTCACATCGAAAGGACTTAGAAACCAACCTGAAGATGAGATAATTTCAGCTGCAATGAAGATCATTGCAATTGATTGAAACTCATCAAATACGTTTTAATCCTTGAATTCATAAAACCAGCAAAAAAAAGAGTTCATATTCAGCAAAAATACTAATCACCTTCTGAGGATGGCATGGAAACAAATTATATTCTTAAAAACTAGGTAAATAAAAGGAAAGAATCAATTACTCCACTTTAAAAAAATGCCTTCATTGATTTCAGAGAGAGAAAGGGAAAGACAGAAATATCAATGATGAGCCAGGACCGGTTTGGCTCAGTGGTAGAGCGTCCGTCTGTGGACTGAAAGGTCCCAGGTTCGATTCCGGTCAAGGGCATGTACCTTGGTTGCAGGCACATCCCCAGTGGGGGGTGTGCAGGAGGCAGCTGGTTGGTGTTTCTCTCTCATCGGCGTTTCTAACTCTCTGTCTCTCTCAATTCCTCTCTGTGTAAAATCAATAAAATATATTTTTTTTAAAAAGAAAAGAAATATCAATGATGAGAGAATAATTGACCGGCTGCCTCCTGCACGCCCTCCATAGGGGATCAAACCTGCAACCCGGGCATGTACCCTGATGGAAATTGAACCATAACCTTCTCATTCATAGGTCAGCGTTCAACCACTGAGCCATGCTGGCTGGGCAAATATTCCACTTTTTACTTATTAATTATACCACTGGGTAATCAAATAGTAGGTTAAGAAAAACAACTTCTTGTAAAATTACTAGTGATCCGGTGCTTGAAATTCATGCACATTAAAAGGGAATTAATTAGAGGAAATATTTTAATATTGCTATTTGCTCTTTCTCTATAATAGAAGTGTCAGAGATTAAAGAAAATTAGTAAAATGTATATGAAAATTTTCCTCCTGTCAGAGTCTGAGGTGTGCCATGGGAACCAGAGTCAAGTCCCCGCCCACCCACGTGCACCTCGAAATCACTCGAGACCCAAACCCAGCCGAGTCACCCCGCCAGGTGGGGGGCATGGCCTGAGGTCCCCCATCAAGCCCTGCTGTGGGCACAGCCATCTTTTCTTTCTTTTTCAAAATATTTTTTATTGATATTTTACAGAGAGGAAGGGAGAAGGATAGAGAGTTAGAAACATCAATGTGAGAGAAACATCGATCAGCTGCCTCTTGCACACCCCCTACTGGGGATGTGCCGGCAACCAAGGTACATGCCCTTGACCGGAATCAAACCTGGGACCTTTCAGTCTGCAGGCGGACGCTCTGCCCACTGAGCCAAACCGGTTTTGGCCACAGCCATCTTGTGTTACAGAATTCCTGTTTCTGCTGTGGGCACAGCCATCTTGTGTGTTACAGAATGACGATCAACTTGCACATTCCCTCTTTATTAGATAGGATTATAGCTAATTGCCTTGGCTGGCTGTCTCAGTTGGTTAGGGTGTCGTCACATATACCAAAAGTTTTGAATGTGAGGGCACATTCCTAGGTTGCAGGTTTCATTCCCAGTCAGGGCCCATACAGAAAGCAACCAACTGATGTTTCTCTTTTACATCAATCTTTCTCTCCCTCTCTCACTCCCTTCCCCTCTCTTTATAAAAAATATCAATAAAAACATGTCATCAGTTAAGGATTAAAAAATTATTACAGTGAATAAATGAAAACAGAATGATTGCCATTTTGCAGCCTGCTATAAAATCATGTACCGAGAGAGAGAGAAAGAAAGAGAGAGAGAGAGAGAGAGAGAGAGAGAAAGAGAGAGAGGAAGAGTGCAAAACTCCAGCCATGTACATGATTCTTGATGAAAAACCCAGAACCACCTGCTATCATGCCAAAGGAATGAAACCTGGGTCTGATCCTAATTTGCAGGAAATGGGGAGGTCAAAGGGCCAAGCTGAACTGTACAATGAGAATGCAATTGACAAAATCCAGACTTTGAGAAACTATACAGGCCAAGCAGCCTGAGTTCTTCAACAGATAAACTGTGAGGAAAAGAAAGAGATGGACGGAGGAACCTGTGCACAGAAAGAGGCTTAAAAGACATTGAGTTTTTTTAAATGGGCAAAACTGAGCTTGAATGTCGGGGTGCACACTCAGATGATTAAATCATAGAGAATGCAAGGAAACCATTGCTATAAAAGTCAGGGGAAGGGCTGTGGCTGGGACATGGAGGGACTCATGGGTGGCTGGCAAAATTCTATTTCTTGGCCTGGGTGGTATTGACAAGGGTGTTTGTCTTGAAATGACTCCCTGAGCTACAAATTTAATTTGCATGATTTTCTGCACCTGTGGTTTGTTTAACAACAAAGTTGTGTGTGTGTGTGTGTGTGTGTGTTTAATGAAAACAGAACTACTTCGCTCTGTATGTGTTTGTGTGTGTTCATATACATACTAATATGTGTATATATAGCTTCTGGGAGTACCAGGTACACAGCAGGTGCTCACTAAATATGACTCCCCTTCCCTGCCAATCATGTGGAAAACCCTTACCTGTGTGAGTTCACTCCCTTGTGTGACTAATTAAAAGTAGCTGATGCTTATTAAGCGATTATTATGTGCCAGGACAGTTCCTAGTGCATGTAATCTAACTGAGTTTTTACAACCTTGTTATTTTTATCTCCATTTTACAGGGAAGAAGATTGAGGCTCAAAGAGGTCATCTGTGGCCTCACAGAAAGTGGCAGAGCAGTCAGATTTTAAACCCAGGCAGCCTGACCCATACTCTCATCGTGTGTGTGTGTGTGTGTGTGTGTGTGTGTATGTGTATGTATGTGTGTATGTATGTGTGTGTATGTGTGTGTATTGTGTGTGTGTGTATGTGTATGTGTGTGTGTGTATGTGTATGTGTGTGTGTGTGTGCGCGCCTACCTTACCGTTTTTTAAATTGGTGTTCAGTGCCCCCCCCCTTTAAAAAAATATATTTTATTGATTTTTTTACAGAGAGAAAGGGAGAAGGATAGAAAGCTAGAACCATTGATGTGTGAGAAACATTGACCAGCTGCCTCTTGCACACCCCCTACTGGGGATGTGCGCAACCAATGTACACGCCCTTAACCGGAATCGAACCTGGGACCTTTCAGTCCACAGACCGACGCTCTATCCACTGAGCCAAACCGGTTTCAGCCAGTGCCCCTTTTTTGTACAAATAATAACTCCCCCTTATGGAGTGCCTGCCAATGTGTGTGTCTCCCCTGGACCACGGAGGTACTTGTTAGTCCGCCTTTGCTAGATGAGAAAACTCGAATCAGAGAGATGAAGACCTTGCCCGGTTACCAGGTTAACAAATGGAAGGGTTGGGGGTTTGCGCTGTGGTGGGGATGGTTCACACTCTTTGGCCCTTCAGATTCTAAAGGACAAAATGTTCCTCCTCTTGCACAGATGGCTAGCGGGTGGATCTGACCCGGGTTGAGGTCATGGGTTGCCCAATCAGTGGTCCGGAGCCTGGCTTGGCTTGAGAGACATCCAGAGTGGGGCTCGGAGAAGT